GTCCGTCCGTCCGTCCGTCCGTCCGTCCGTCCGTCCGTCCGTCCGTCCGTCCGTCCGTCCGTCTGTCTGTCTGTCCGTCTATCTCTCTGTCTGTCTGTCTCTAGACCTCTATCAGTCTACAGTATCTAAGGTTCTATCAGTCTATCTTTCTATCTATTGTAACATTAAGTGTCCATCTATTATATATAAGGGTTCACTTTTAGTCTACAGTAATTATATTTTGTAGAGGGGGTTGTATAATTCAGACGTCTCTTTTCAGTTATTCTGTGCAATTATTTTTTTCTTACTACCGCATTGTTTTTTCCCCTCTTTGATCTTTAGTGTATCTGTACGCTTTAATTTCAATAAATGTTTTATCTTCTGCGATCAAGGTTGTGCTCTCTTTTTCTCTGTAGCTCCATGATTGCTGCCAGGCTTAACAAGCCAGCAGCAGTAGAGGCTGTTAATGCTGCGAGTTACCTTCTGGAGAGCGAGTCTCTGTCTCCCTCTCCACGGCTCAGCACAAGCTCCGTTTGGCTGTGCTAATGCCACTGGTGTTCTGAAGGGTTGAATCTAAACTATCTTGTTAACACAGTTGTAGAGGAGAGGAGCTGTCTTTAGTGACAGAGGTAATGGTACATCAACTTTACTCAGAAGATACAGTTAAGTCAAATGAAGAATTCTGGATTCTTGATTCTCATTTTATCTCGCTCTCTTTCTCTCCTTTCCATTTCTCTCTTTCTACTTCCTCTCTCCATGTCTGTTTTTTTCTCATCTAATTTTTATTATTCAAACCGGTCTCTGAGTCTGTGTTAAGTAATAGATTTTGGAGCACTACTCGCTGGAAGGGCCTCTTTCTATTGTTGTAGAAAAATCACAGAAGTTGCTCTCTGGTTGAGTTTCAATCAGTATTGAATATAGAAAAATCATTGTCCGAGATACTACTTCTGATACAAACCTCAAAAAGACTTTATTTTAATTGAATGCATTTCTGGAAAAGAACTTTCCTTGGACTGTGTCAGGCTATGAACAGACTGCAGGTGTATCCTAATAGTGCGTCATGACAGAATAATTGTATTTATCAATTGTAAAGTGAAAATTGTGAATGTTGACATTACTGTGACAGAGCGAATGATAACTTGTATGAGCTGGTTCTTTTAAGTTAATCAAAAACATACAGTGCAACCAGTCCGATTCCCAAACAAAATATTCTAATGACTTTTATTTTGGTGACTCAAACACACACAGCTTAAAACTAACTGTAGGGTTACTGACTGGTTGTTCATATGACAACATACACTGTAGTCTGTAAGTGGTATTTTATTGAAAATGAATGTTATCACATTTTTTTAAGTATCAATGTTTAATATAATGCCAATTAGATTAGAAATAAGTGTAAAACGAATGATCAATGAATGAATCAATAAAAGGGGTATATAAATTGTTTAAATGATTATTATAAATAATTATATGATTACATGGAATAATAAAATCATCAAATAAATAAATAAATAATGAATGAATGAATTATAAAAGAAAGAAAATAAAACACAGCACAAATGTTTTGTTGCTCTCTTGAAGCAACACACAGGCATCTCTCTCTTTGGCTTATTTCCAATCAGTCTGATACTAGATCCACCATCAGCTGATGAATCACTTGAATTTAGATGCATGCTTTCCTCAACGGATCTGATTCTTCATTTCTAAATCTCTCCCCTTCCTCTCTTAATGACATGCTGTTCTGGTGCGGTATCGTCAATGGCAGGAGCTCAGCTTTTATCCCTTCAAGAGTTAGTGGGAAACTTATTTTATGCCTCGCATTCGAATATTAAAGATGCTTTGCTTATAAACTGCCTCTGCAGGACACTAGTCTCCATTATTGAAGAGGACGGGAGGAAAGTAGTGAGAGGATAGTAATGTAAGGTCTGGATTAGCTCCCTGCTGCTCGTGCGGGGCTGTACTGAGTATAGTGGATGGCTAGGTTGGCCACTCCATTGTGCTAAACAGGCGATAGAGGAATGGGAGTCTGCTAATTCACTTGCATGTGTAATGCATGTGTCTGTGATCGCTCATTTTGAGATGAATAGACTCAGAACGGATGAAGAGGAGAAACGGAGCAAGGGAGATTGATGACAGGGAGGGGGTGAGGAGCAGAAGTGTAGAACGACGGATTAGAGAGGAATGATCCGGAAAACAAATCTGACACATGGTATAGCCTACTATATTAGCCTATATGTGTGTGTGTGTGTGTGTTTTAAATGTAAAGTCAAAATGGGAGGCCATATGTGGCATTTCATATGTGCATCACAGTGAAGGTGTATCTGAAGTTACACTGCTGTTGGGAGAATGACAACTTGGAATCTGGAATGGGTCGACTGACCATTTATTCTATTGACTAACAGAAACTGTCAGTAAAATAAGCATGTGTGGTCGACCTTGATAGATTTCTCTCCTGTTTGGGATGAAGTAGAATTATAAACTAGATTATTATTATTATTTTATTATATTATTATATTGTATTTGTACAGTTTTTGACGTTACAAGAGTTGCTGAAGGTTATGAAACTACAAGGTGCTTCCCAGAAAACAAATGTAATGCTGATATAAGACTGGCATATTGTTAGAAAGGATTATTATTATTTTATTTTATTTTATTTTTTAAAGGGGCAAATAATGGTAATGGTTGAATGGTTAAAAAATTGAAAGTCATTATTGTGTTAAATGAGAAACGTGTGAAAAAGTAGCTTTAGAAAGAAATGTTTTATGTCTTTCTATGCTGCAACAGCCATGATTTTTTTTTTCAGAAGCTGCATCTGAATTAATGTTTAGATATATCTACAGACAGTTTATTGCAGCTCAGAGGTGGCATGAATGCATTTACACTGCAATTGCAATTGCATAAATAATGGCATGAGATTAATGGGATTTAAATGGGTATTAAATTTTTTTTTTATTAATATGGAAATATGAAATAATTTTTTAATGAAATGATACTCTAAATAACAAACTAAAACTGCAATACAAATCTGTTCAAAGATAGTAGGACAGCCTCTTGAAAAGTTATATGAACTTTCTTATCGTAAGAACCTCTTAAGGCTGGCCAAGAATATTGTTTCTAATCCCAGTCATGTGTTATATAATGAATTTGTGCTTCTACCATCTAATCGTCGATACAAGGTCCCTAAATTTAATGGAGTGAAACTAAAACACTCTTTTGTACATCAGGCTGACCTAGAGCTGAGTAAGGTACACGTAAAATGAAAATTCCAGTTTTTTTTATTCTATTGTATTTACAGTACTGTGTCTATGTCTATTATGAATTGTGTTTTGTTTGTAAACATACTGTTATGCAAGACAAATTTCAGACTTTGTCTGACAATTAAGTTTATATCTATCTATATCTATATCTTATATCTATCTTATATATCTTTTTCCATAACTCATTAACTTAATTAATGCATTAAATCAACAGCCCTAACATATATGTGTGTGTGTGTGTGTGTGTAGCTAGATAGATATTTATATATTGTATAACATTTTAAAAGAAATGTTTTCTCTTTTAATGTAATTTTTTTAAATATTTAAATAAAAATGTAATTTATTCCTGCGATGGCAAAGCTGAATTTTTAAAAATAATTTCTTCTTACCAATGTTAAAAACAGCTGTGCTGCTGAATGTTTTTATGGAAACCGTGATACACATTTTTACAGGTTTCTTTGATGAATAGAAAGTTAAGCATTTATAGAAATCTTATAGACATCGAAAGAGAAATGGAAATCTTTTGTAACATTATGTCTTCACTGTCATCTGTGATCAGTTTAATTCTTGCTTGCTGAGTAAAAGTGCTGATTTCTTTCCAAAAAAGAAAAAAAAAAATCTTCCTGACCCTATGATTGGAGTCCTACCTCTCCCGATGGGATCAACTCCAAAAGGGAAGAGGAGGAATTAAGACAGGAAATTAATATTGGGGGCACGTAAATGAATAGAAGAAGGCAGAGACACACATGCACACTGGCAAATCAGGCACACATTAAACATTTAGTGAAAATCTACAAAACAAGAATATATAAACACATACGTAAAACATTATACTACAGCTGTTAGATTAACAACCTAAGCCCCCCTCCCCGCAGCTCCATCAGTGTTGTTACCTCATTGAAGCCGAATCAAGGTAACGGATCAGTCCATCTCGGACCCCAGGGGAGTGGCTTTGATGTTGAGTAGAGCGTGGAGACCTGAAAGAGAGAGAGAGAGACAGAGAGACTGTGAGATTTCGCCATGCGGCATAACTAACTTGACAAACGCCCACGACCGACTTCACACATGAGTTCACACACAGAACAATCATTTACAAGCATGTACAGACCATCAATGTGTATGCATTCATGTGCTCTGTCACTCATGTGTGCATAGCTTTAAAACATTTTGGCCTATTTGCTACTGACAGCTTACACACATGCACACACTCACACACACATGCATCAGTGTATGCATATTAGATGTGAAGAGTTCATCGACGTGCTTATTATAAGCATTTGAAATCTTCAAATCATTCATCACCAATGTACTGTGGACATTTGAACCGCCTGGGATGTAACATTTGTTTCAGGAGTGAAGTGGACATTTAGATGTTAAGGGAGAAAAATGTGTCTCGTTCACAATCACATACTTTGATGCAGCAGATGTGGGGTCGGTTCATATTTCTCTACCCTCTTTCTCCTGATCCTTGTTCCCTTTATCCAAACTTTAACAGGTTACTGTGGTAAAAAGAAAAAAAAATGATACTTAACTTTGGATTTGTCCGTTTGGCTTTGGGTTGGAGGCAAGAATTATACAAGAATAATTGAGCTGGCTTTTAAAAAAATGATTGAGCAAGCAAATTCTCATCTCTCTCTTTGACATATTCTATGTACTGTTGAAAACCGGTATGAATTATAACTATAACCCACTGATATCCTATTATAATGTGATTCCCCTGGATTCTTCTGTTCTCATGCATGCATTTATCTTTGTTTCTTGCAGGATGACCATTCCATGTTCTTCCAGTTTGGTCCCTCTATAGAGCAGCAAGCCTCTGTCATGCTTAACATAATGGAGGAATATGACTGGTACATATTCTCCATCGTCACCACCTACTACCCTGGATACCAGGACTTTGTCAATCGGGTGAGAATTATTTTTTTTCCCAATTCAATTCCATTTAATTTCAGTTTAACTGTTAATTTAAGCAGCTTTAGTAGTAATTTACATTTAATCGTTTAGCAGACGCTTTTATCCAAAGTGACTTACAAATGAGGAGAGCAATAGAAGCAATCAGACCAACAAGAGAGCAACAGTATACAAGTGCTGTGACAAGTCTCAGTTAGTCTAGCACAGTACTCATAGAAAGGTGTTTTTTTTTTAAATATATAAATTAGAGCAAGCTTCTGGAAAGGCGCATAAGTTTGAACTAGCGAGTTTAGGTATATTGGTGCAGTGCCAGTGGTTGTCTTGTAGGCAAACATCAGTACCTTGAATTTGATGCGAGCGGCTATTGGCAGCCAGTGCAAACTGATGAAGAGAGGTGTGATGTGGGCTTTCTTCGGCTCGTTAAAGACCACTCTCTCTGCTGCATTCTGGATCAGTTGCAGAGGCTTGATAGTAAATGAGAGAGCATTACAATAGTCCAGTCTGGAAAGAAAAAGAGCTTGGACAAGGAGTTGTGTGGCCTGCTCTGATAATACACATATAGTAATACACTGTATGTCAGGTCAAGTTTTATGTCTTCATCCAAGCCTGTCTATGTGCATGATTCAAGTAACCTTAAAAATAAAACATATGAGTTCTGATGTCAGTTCAGTTCAGGTGTTATTTCTTATTAAGCTTAGAAGACTGCAGGAACCCATCAAACATAGTTTATATGTTAGCTAAATATATACACTGCTGTTCAAAAGGTAAGATTTCAAAAATGTTATTTGCAAAAATCGCAGCTCACCAAGGCTGCATTCATTTGTTAAAACTTATTATTTGTGAAATAATATAAAAAAAATTTTTAAATGTAATTTATTCCTGTGATTTTATTATTGCTATCAATATTGGTAATAATAAAATATTTATTATTAATAATAATAATAGTAATAATAATAATAATTAATAATAATGATGCTTAATATTTTTGTGGAAATTGTGATAAAAAAATTTCAGGATTCTTGAATAGAAAGAACAATATTTATTTGTTATAGAAATCTTTTGTAACAGTGTCTATAAAAGTCTTTGCTGTCACTTTTGATCAATTTAATGGGTTCTTGCTGAATAAAAGTATGAATTTCTTGAAAAAAATGTTTATCAACCCTGAACTTTTGAACAGTATTGTATGTATGTGAATTGTTGTTGTTGTTGTTGTTACTTTTATTTATTATTTTAAAGTTATGTTTAACACTGAGAGTTTAACAATTGTTTGTGAAGAAATTTGGAGTGGTGCAGAAAAGCATTGCTATGTGGTTGCTAAGATGTTCGGCATGTTTTTAGCATGTTGCCATGTGGTTGCTAGGGTGTTCTGGGTGGTTACCAGGGGTTGCTAGGTGATTTCTATTGTGTTTTGACTGGGTGAGAGAAACACATCTCTGTTTAAAGTGCCCCTATTATGCCTTTTCGAATATTACCTTTCATGCAGTGTGTCATGTAGCTGTATGTGAACATAAACTATCAGAAAAGTTGTGAAGCCGACAGTGCACAATAAATAAAGTTATTGTCTATCAAAAAAAAAGAGTCGGCTCACAATCGCCTAAACAAGTCGTCAGGAATTCGAATCTTATTCTGTTACGGCGCTACGTCACAAAGTAACACATTTGCATAATGTC